GTCTTTCTTTACATTTCCATAAAGATTCCAAAATATGTTTAACTAATCCCCACATAGAAAACATGGAAACAAAGAGAAGCCCCAGACTGATGTGCCCGCTTTAAATTTTCTTCTATTCGGTTCCAGCATTCTGGGTCCACAGTACCTTCATCTGGGAACCTAGGACTATGTTTAACTACAGCTTCTAACAATTCCTCTAATTAGACTGATACCTGAGTCCCTGATTGCTTTAGCATACATTTAAGCAGTTGAATATAATGTTTAGTTTCTTAACACTGATTCTGCCCCATTTGTTACCCTGGTTTACTTAAAACTTCTACTTGCGTACTCACAGTCACAACTTCATCAAGTGCAAGGCTACCATCCACTTGTAACTTCACCTTTTCTGCTGGTAGCAGACCTTCTCCAGGTCCCTGTTGGGGCACCACTTTGCTACATCTAGTGCTGCAGGGTAATTAAGGAACCTGGAAGAGGAATGGCATGGTATAACACAGTTTATAAGACACCTTTTAGAGTTAAGAAGTGGGGGAGCCAGGGGGCACTTTGCCTCACAGTCTCTTACCCACCAGACTTTTATTAGTACAAATGACATGTTTAAGCTAGCACTCAAAACAAGGTATAGGCAGTAACATGGAAACTTTCTTGTTATGACCATAAGCAATGAAATGTGACCCTTTACAGGCATAATGCAATTGCTTGTAGAACAATGTGGTTACTGTATAACTTTTTTACTTAGCCTAACATAAAGGGCATCGCACTTTAGAACTTGTCTCAGCATATATGCCTGTCTGACTTTTGTCATCATGAGCATTCTTGGCTGATTATGCCTTTGCATGTAGCCAAGCATGCCTTCAGCAAAGTTCAAGTAGGGCAGTGGTCTCCAACACATATTTGTAGTTTTCAAAGTTCCTCTTGTTATTATTTTCTAGTTTTATTCTGTTGTGGACAGAAGAGATACTTGATGTGCTCTTGGCTTTTTTGAATTTGCTAAGACTTGTTTTGTGTCCTAACATATAGTTTATCCTGGAGAACGTTCTATGCACTGAAGAGAAGAATGTGTATTCTGTAGCAGTTGGATGAAGTGTTTTTTAAATGTCTGTTAGGTATATTTGGTCTAGAGTATAGTTTAACTCTAGTGTTTCTTTGTTGATTTTTTGTCCTGGATAATCTGTCTATTGTTGAAGGTGGGCTGTGGCAGTTCCTTCATATCATTGTGTTACAGTCTGCCTTTCCCTTTAGATCTATTAATATCTGCTTTATATATTTGGGTGCTCTGGAGTTGGATGCATTTATATTTACTATTATAATGTCCTCTTGCTGAGTTGACCCCTTTGTCATTATATAATGACCTTTTCTGTCTCTTTTTACATTTTTTGACTTAAAGTCTTACTTAATAGAAATATAGCTACTCTTGCTCTTTTTCAGTTTCCCATTTGCATGACATGTTTTTTCTCTCTCTTCGCTTTGTATATGTCTTTATAGGCGAAGTGAATTTCTTGTAGGCAACTATAATTGGGTCTTGTGTTTTAATTTATTCAGCCACTGTATGTCTTTTAATTGGAGAATTTTGTTCATTTATTTTCAATGTTATTAATAGATAAGGACTTTTATTATTAATAGGTAAGGTCATTTTGTTACTTTTTAAAAACTGCTTTTGACTCCTGTCTTATCTTCTTTCTTAATGTCTTCCTTTTTGGTTAAGTGATTTTCTCTGGTAGTATGTTTTAATTCATTGTTTTTTTTTATTGCTACTGTATTTATATAGGTTTTTGCTTTGTGGTTACCATAAGGCTTACCAAAAACTTCTATAGTTTTAAGAAGTCATTTAAAACTGATACCAACATCACTTTGATTGCATAAAAAGCCAAGAAACAAGCAAATGAAAAAAACCGTACCCATTGACTCCCTTCGTCCTCCACATTTTGAATTTTTTATGTCACAATTTGCATTTTTATATTGCCCATCTCTTACCAAATCGATGCCGTTATTTTTAACGGTGCTGTCTTTTAGTCTTTTCAGTAAATGTTTTATACACCAAAATTGCACCGTTTCTTTCCATTTCAAGAATCCTTTTAGAATTTATTGTAGGGCAGCTCTACCCATCTTGTTGCCTTATATGGTTATATGAAATCCAGCAGGTCCGTGTACAAGTGGAGTAATTCCTTGACTGTAAGAGCAGGAGTTGTGGTTGAGACTGGGCCACCTTGGGATTTGCTGTGTGGAGGAGGCTGGTGGGCCCATCTTACTGGCTCACTGGGGTGTGCCTCTCCCAGCATGTTTTTGTACAGGTGATAGAGTTATCTGATGGTGGCAGGAGGGGCTGGAGCTAGAACTGTGCCCCATTAGGAACTGGTGCAGGCTCAAGGGTGAGAACCCATCTCACTGGCCCACACAGGTGTGCATTTTCCAGCAGGTCACAACACAGATGAGATAGTTCCCTGAATGCAGCAAGAGGTGCAGGAGCTGATGCTGGGCCATCTCAGGATCTACTGTGAGATGGAAGCTGGCAAGCTTCTGTGGAGCTGTTGGTTCAGAGGGACATGCGTCTCCCAAGAGGACCTGCACTGACAGGAGAATTCCACTACTGCAGCAGGACAGGCTGGAACTGAAACAAGGCCACTTTGGGATCTGCATTGGGGCAGAGGCTGGAAGTCCTGGTCTGGAAATCCTTGTTGGCTCAGAGTGGTGCACATCTCCCAGCAAGTCCTTGCATAAACAGAATAATTTCCCTGATTGCATCAGCAGGGGCTAGAACTGAGTCTGGGTCCCCTTAGAATCTGTTCTGGGACTGAGGTCAGGGAGCCCATCAGGAGCCTGAGACTCCCAAGATACAAGATATTGGAATGAGGCTCCCTTTGGGCCTTGTGTGAGCAGTTCTGAGCTGGGGCCTTGACTCAGGGGGGCGGGAGCAAAGCCACGGGCAACTATGAGGCTTACTGCTGAGACCAATGTCAGCAGGTAGGTAAGGCTTCTACCAAGGCACTAACTGCCATGCACAATTCTTCTGTACCCATTTGGAGATAGTTTTGATTGGAAACTTAAGGCAAAATGGGGCTGTAGCCAAGCCACTGGGAGGACTGGGCTGTTTTTCTGACTTGGACCCAGGAGCAAGCCCAGTGGATCAGCCATCTGGGTGTCAGCATGTACTCTTAATGTGACCGTCTGAGGTCTTGGGCTCCATCAACATTTCACAAACTTTTACCTGAATCCTGAGGCTTGTACAGAGAGACTTTTGACGGTGTCAGGATGCAGATTTCTTGTTGTGGGAAATATGAGCTGGTTACCTTCTATTCTATAACCTTGGTGATGTCACACCATAACAGAAAGTTTTTTTATTTTGTTTTGTTTTTGAGTCAACGTCTTACTTTGTTACACAGACTGGAGTGGCATGATCACAGCTCACCACATCCTCAACCTCCTGGGCTCAGGTGATCCTTTCCACTTCAGCCTCCCAAGTAGCTGGGACTACAGGTACACAGCACACCTGGCTAATTTTTTTTTTTTTTTTTTGTATAGACAAGGTCTCATTATATTGCTGATCTCTAACTCCTGGACTCAAGCAATCCTTCCACCTTAACCTCCAAAGAGCTTGGGATTACAGGCATGAGCTACCATGCCTGGCCTAAGTTTTTCTTATTTAAATCATGTTCCACTTTCTATATTCTGTGCTGGTTCTGAAATAGAACTTCTTGCTTTTTTTTCAAAAGAGAGACTTGTTTAAAACTCCATAAACTATAACTTTCTTTTTTTTGAGTTGGAGTCTCACTCTGTCCCCCAGCTAGAGTACAGTGGCATGCTCACAGCCACTGCAGCCTCTATCTACTGGGCTCAGGTGATCCTTCCGCATCCGCCTTCCAAGTAGCTGTAACCACAGGCACGCGCCACCACACCTGACTAATTTTTGATTTATTGTAGAGACACGGTCTTGCCATGTTGCTTAGGCTGGTGTTGAGCCCATGAGCTCAGGCAATCCTCTCTCCTCTGCCTCCTAAAGTGCTGGAATTACAGGCGTGAACCACTGCACCTGGCAAACTATAACTTTTTTAATGCACTTATTAATTATTGCCGGCCTATTTTATCATGGATTAATTATAATGTAATCATGATGGTTTTTAAGCATGTATTATGAAATACACCATCATACCCATCTGATAATCTTACAACCAGCCTTCCTAGTAATGATATAGATAATTGTATAACACATAGTCAGAAAAAATATTTTTATAATATTTTTGTTGAATTCATCTTTATTTCTTCAGTGTTGCTAATCTTTTGCAATTCAAAATTGCTACTTTAATTATTTATGATATACATTTGCTGTAGGTTATTTACTATTATAATATATCATGCTGTATTTTAGCATTTATTTTTAAATGTATACGATATAATATTTTTTTCTCTTGAACTAAGATTTAGCCATATGCTTCTTTTTTTTTTTTTTTTTGAGTTGGAGTCTCACTCTGTCATCCAGACTGGAGTGCAGTAGCCGCTCCCGGCCACTGCAGCCTCTACCTGCTGGGCTCCAGCAATCCTTCCGCCTCAGCCTTCCAAGTAGCTGGAACTACAGGCACGCACTACCACGCCCAGCTAATTTTTTGATTTATTGTAGAGATGAGGTCTCGCCAAGTTGGCCAGGCAGGTGTCGAACCCGCAGGCTCAGGCAATCCACTCACCTCAGCCTCCCAAGGCACGGGATTACAGGCTGAGCCACCAAGCCCGGCTAGCCGTATGCTTTTTGCCAAATGTTGTGTGCCTTTAGATAAGGTTAGAAAATAATTCCTTGTTTTAGGGCTAACAGATTTGTGCCATGTATGTGTTTTGGCCATAGGTTGTTTGAAACTAGGCTTCCCTACTATTAATTTGAATTATCTGTAGCCAGCTTTTCTTTATTGAAATTTATGATTCTGCAGTTTCACAAATCTGTTTAATATAAGTATTATTCTTGATGTAATTCACATGCTGTAATTAATGGGAACCCTGTGGTTCTTTATGTCTTCTAGACATTCCTCCTAAATGTATAATCAAGGGTTTAACACCAAAAAAGAAGAGCAATACAGAAGTGTTTCACACACTGATGTTGGGAAGACATGAAAGCCATGGCATTGAAGACTTTACATATAAGGGGAGAGAAGATGACGGAAATTATAAAGGATTGCTTATGACCCAAGAAGAAAATCTCACTAGTAGAAGTGATCAACATGAAAGAAGAGATAAAGGAAAGAAGCTTATTACAAATCAGCTTGGAGTGAGCATTCAGTCACATCTGCCTGAATTGCAGATATTTCAAGATGAAAGAAACATTTATGAATGCAGTCAAATTGAAAAGTCTACCAAAAATGGTTCCTCAGTTTCACCACTTCAACAAATTCTTCCTTGTGTCAAAACTCACATTTCTAACAAATATGTGAATGATGTTACTTATTCTTCATTCCTCACTCAAGAACAAAAGGCAAACAATTGGGGAAAATATTATACATGTGGCCAGGTCTTCACTGAAAATTCACAATTTGTACTACACCACAGAATTCATACTGGAGAGAAATCTTACAAATGTAATGAATTTACTAAGAGTTTTACCAGGCATTCACATCTTTGGAATCATGACAGAATTCACACTGGGGAGAAACCTAACCAGTGTAATAAGTGTGGGAAGGCATTCAGTCGGCGTTCAAGCCTCGCTGCCCATCAGGTCGTCCATACTGGAGAAAAACCTTACAAATGTCATGAGTGTGGCAGAGCATTTAGTGATCGTTCAAACCTCACTACCCATCAGGTCATCCATACTGGAGAGAAACCTTACAAATGTGATGAATGTAGCAAAGTCTTCAGTCAAAATGCACACCTTGCACGTCATAAGGTAATTCATACCGGAGAGAAACCTTTCAAGTGTAATGACTGCAGTAAAGCCTTTAGTCGGCATGCAAGCCTAGCTGCCCATCAGGTCATCCATACTGGAGAAAAACCTTACAAATGTAATGAGTGTGGCAAGGGCTTCACTCAAAGCGCGCACCTGGCCCGCCACCAGAGAATTCATACTGGAGAGAAACCTTATCAGTGCCATCAATGTGGGAAAACCTTTATTCGACGTTCTACCCTCGCTGCCCACCAAGTGGTTCATACTGGAGAAAAGCCTTACAAATGTAATGAATGTGGCAAGGTCTTCAGTTGTTTTTCGCCACTTTCACAACATCGAAGAATTCACACTGGAGAAAAGCCTCACAAATGTAACGTGTGTGGCAAGATGTTCAGTGGAATCTCTTCACTTTTACAACATCAGAGAATTCACACTGGAGAAAAGCCTTACAGATGTAACGAATGTGGCAAGGACTTCACTCAAATCGGACACCTTGCACGTCACAGGAGAATTCATACTGGGGAGAAACCTTACAAGTGTGATGAGTGTGGCAAAGCCTTTATTGCTCGTACAGGCCTGGTTACTCATCAGGCAACCCACACTGGAGAAAAACCTTACAAGTGTAGTGAATGTGGCAAGGACTTCACTCAGAATGCACACCTTGTAGTTCATAGGCGAATTCATACTAGAGAGAAACCTTACAAGTGCAATGAGTGTGGCAGAGCTTTTAGCGTACGTTCAAGCCTAGCTATCCATCAGGCAGTTCATACTGGAGAAAGACCTTACAAATGTCATGAATGTGGCAAAGCCTTTAGACACAATTCATACCTTACAAAGCATCGGAGAATTCATACTGGTAAGAAACCTAACAAGTATAATGAGTGTGGTAAAACCTTTAGCGAGCATTCAAACCTAACTGCCCATCAGATCATCCATACCAGTGAAAAACCTTACAAAAGTAATGAACGTGGCAAGGTCTTTACTGAAAATGCATACCTTCTACATCATAGGGGAATTCGTACTGGAGAGAAACCTTACAAGTGTAATGAGTGTGGGAAAACCTTTAGTCGATGTTCAACACTAACTAACCATCAGGCAATCCATACTGGAGAAAAACCTTACAAGTGTAAAGAATGTGGCAAGTTCTTCACTCAACGTAGAAATTTTTTAACTCATCGAACACTTCATAATGGAGAGAAATTTTACAAATGAGGATGATGAGTTTTTCAGTCACAATTCACTTCTTTCATACCATCAAAGGATTCATTCTGGAAAGAATTCTTAAAAATGCAGTGACTGCACTTTGGATGGATTTAGAGTCTGTCATACTCAGTGATCTATCACAGAAACAAATAACTGAATACCACACATTCTCACTCATAAGTGGACCCTGAACACCTATCATAAGACTACAAGAAAGGGAACAGCAGTAGCAGGACACTGCCAGAGGTGGGGCAGGGCACATCACATCAATAGGGGTGCCTAATCCAGGCAAAGTGAGGTCCAGTGGGAGGCCCAAACTTTACCTGTATGTAAATCACTTATGTACTTAATCCTGACTTGTACCCACATCATTAAAAAATTTAAATGCAGTGACTATGGCTACCCTCTTGTGAATTCAAGTATTAGTAGACATCAGAGCATAATAACAAGAAATCATATGAGTGAAATGTATACAGCAGAGGCTTTATCCAGACCTCATAGCTCACTCGGCATTTCATCTCTGATGAAACCACACAAATGCAGTGTGCATGCTGAGATTGTTTACACAAGGACTAACTAGGTGAGAATCATAGGAGGAGTAACTCGGTCTCTGATTTCCTCTGGCTAGCCTTTGATATTACATATGACAGGATGATTACAAGACCAAATAGGTTAAAACTCAAGACACGATATATATCAAATGTTGTGGGACATTTGGAAAGGGCCAGTTACCTTCAGGTTATAAAATGTTTTTGTTTCATCATTTGAAGTTTCTTAAAAAGGCTGCTACTTTACTGTTTATGACTTCCAGGCTTAACTTTAAACTCTATTGCTCCTATGCATTTATACACTTTTTGTGGTGGTGTTTGGGAAAGACTAGGATGGAAGTGCCTACTGCATTAAGGAAGGGTCATTTTCATCCAAGTTCCTTAAAGAACTCTGGCTTTTAAAATTAAATTTTCTCTGAATTAGACAGCGTGTTGTAGGGGCAGATCATAAAGGAAAACCATAATGGCAGTTAACATGCTGCATTCCGAATGTCCTTCCTCTGACAGAAGGGCATTGTGGATTACAGGAAAGAAAGACTACCAACAGACCATGATATGAGTAGTCCAAGTCCTTAGGATGTAGAGTGTTACTGGAGGACAGTAATTAAGCTATTGGGAACTGTTTATGTGATAGAAACAATGCAAGGGAAATGGTGGTCACCTTCTTCATTGACTGACATTAGCTGTGACATAGTAATGATTGGTGTAAAATTAGTCTTTTTTTTTTTTTTTTTGAGTTGGAGTCTCACTCTGTCGCCCAGACTGGAGTGCAGTGGCCGCTCCCGGCCACCACAGCCTCGGCCTGCTGGGCTCTGGCAATCTTTTTGCTTTAGCCTTCCAAGTAGCTGGAACTACAGGCGCAAGCACTACCACACCCAGCTAGTTTTTTGATTTATTGTAGAGATGAGGTATCGCCAAGTTGGCCAGGCGGGTCTCAAACCTGCGGGATTAAGCAATCCACTCACCTCAGCCTCCCAAGGCACGGGATTACAGGCTGAGCCACTGAGCCCGGCTAAAATTAGTCTTATTTTTGAAATTGAAGAGAGAATAGTTATCAGAGTGGAGAATTTTGTGTGCTCTTAAGTAGAAATAATATTAACTACTGGAATTGCAATTTCCTATTTATACAAAATGTATTATAGGTATACTATTTTAACTGATACAATTTAATGTTTTTTGTAACTAGGAATCACATTCTCTCTACCAAAGCAGTTTTATGAAGTATCCTCAGTAGGACACTTTGTATCACAAGAACCACATCATTTGTTTTATAAGGTGAAGAGTCTAGAGCAGTTTTTTTCTCAGTGGAACATAAAACATGGGGAACCTACAATCATATTTTTTGCTTAAATTATCTCCACACTCTGCCTTAGGATACATATGTGAATATAATAAAAATCCTATAGAAGTACAATTTCAAGGTCTTACAACCTAAAGGCTACATTACTGTTGATGAATATGTATCATAATATATTTTACATACCACTTCCTTGTGTACTAAGAGTCACAGCAGACATCTTGATTTACATGAAGTGAAAAAATATAAAGAATATGAAAAATATGGAATAAAAGAAAATATGAGAAATAAGAATAAAAGTAACTGTCCTTTCTTCAGTGACATAATTTGACAAAACTAATGTTCATGAATTTCTTCTCAAAAATGAAATAACCAATGAGAATTTTATTGTTCTAGTAGGTAAACTATATTTCATATGTTCCCTCTCCTAATTGTTTTTGTAGTTTGAAAATGTGACCTCTCCCTGGAACTGTATTGAACTCCACTAAAGTTTAGATATAGAGAATGATGATGTCAAACACTGAAGTTTTAGGAAAATGTTTATTTCTTTTCCTTTCTTTTTATTTTAACTGGAGTCTCACTTTGTAGCCCAAGCTGGAGTACAGTGGCATGCTCAAAGGCACTGCAGCCTCAAGCTACTGGTCTCAGGTGATCCTTCTGCCTCAGCCTTCCAACTAGTTGGAACCACAGGCATGTGCCACCACACCCAGCTAATCTTTTTGATTTATTGTAGAGATGAGTTCTTGCCAAGTTGTCCAGGCTGGTCTTGAACCCCTGAGCTCAGGCAATCTGCTCAGCTCTGCCTCTCAAAGTGCTGGGATTACAGGCATGAGCCACTATGTCCAACTGGAAAATGTTTATTTCATAAGGAGACTTTCTGGGAAAAGCAGAGTAGACTTCCCAATCTGGTGCAAAAAATGGCTTGAGACGGCAGGTATAAGGGACTGACCTAGCGTGTTATGGTTGTTAAAGGATAAAGTTGAGCAGGGACCCTACATGTGGTTTGAACTTCCACTGGGTACCAGAGAAGGGAGCACTTCAGCATTATCATGACCAGATGGGCAGAATCAGAGGAGAGGAAGAACAGAGGTGTAAGTGGTGTTCATAGTCAAACATCACAAAATGAAAACTGACTCAATTACAATATTGAATGTTAGTTGGAAACTCCTGACCTCTCCCCTATTTTCTTCATAATAGTAGCTAACTACATTTATTTTCCTGCCCTGCCCATAGGTTGCATTACACAATTCAATTGAAAATGCTTGTGAAATATTGCTTAGCTAAATTGCCTAAATATTTTTACACTAGTTCCCCAATTAATGGGTGGAAAAGTTAATTATGTAATAAAGCAATTTTAGTAGCAGAGCATTCTTCCAAAGACTCTGTTAATGTCACTTTCAGTGTATGATATTGTGTAATATATTCCATGATTTATTTTCAGTTGTAGTAAAATTTGTTTTTGTACATAATTTTTACTCTTCAGTTTTTTTCCTTCCATATGTTGTAACCCAAATTATGGGTTTAATACATTTCTTCCCTCTGTTACTCTTGGGAAAAATTTAGGGGATACACGAATGAAGGTGGTGTTTGAAGACAACATTTTGTGGCATGAAAGTACATTTAAGACAATGGCAAGGCTGGGCACGGTGACTTGCCTGCAATCCCAGCACTTTGAGAGGCGGAGGCAAGAGGATTGCCTGAGCCCAGGGGTTCGGGACGAGTCTGGGCAACTTGAGACTTCATCTCTACAATAAATGAAAAAATTAGCCAGGTGGGATGGCACGTGCCTGTAGTTTTGGCTACTTGGAAGGCTGAAGGGGAAGGATCACCTGAGCCAAGCAGGTCAAGGCTGTGGTAACTGAACATGCCACTGCACTCCAGCCTGAGTGACAGTGAGACTCCAATTTTAAAAAAAAGACAATGGCAGACACAAACTAGTTTCTCTGTAAACATAAAAATGGTGTCTCACTATAAGTCAGTTCAATGAAAGCAGTAAAGTGATACAAGATGGTGAAATGAAGTCTTAGTATGAGAGTTATCTAGGATCAGGTATTTGAAAATCAAGTTTGTGGAGGTTAACCTGGAGAAGTAAATGAAAACTATTCCTCAAGATGTCAACTAGTTGGAGAGAAAGAGATCATCTTCATTGGTAAATCTGTTTATTGGAGGCTATTCTGCAACTTTTCACTGGCTGGTATTTCTATTCTGAACAAGAACGTCTTGCAGGGAAACATGGCATTTGTGCAACTTTTGCTATGGCAACTAACAATTGACTCCTCATAGATGTGTTTCCATCAAAAAATAATAATTTTTTTTTTTTTTTTGAGTTGGAGTCTCACTCTGCCGCCCAGACTGGAGTCCAGTGACTGCTCCTGGCCACCGCAGCCTCGACCTGCTGGGCTCCGGCGATCCTTCCACCTCAGCCTTCCAAGTAACTGGAACTACAGGTGTGCGCTACCATGCCCCGCTGATTTTTTGACTTATTGTATAGATGAGGTCTCACTGCCCAGGCGGGTCTCCAATTCGCGGGCTCAGGCAATCCACTCACCTCAGCCTCCCAAAGGCGCGGGATTACAGGCTGAGCCACCGAGCCCAGCTAATCAGTGTTATTTATTTATTTATTTTTTGAGTTGGAGTCTCACTCTGTTGCCCAGACGGGAGTGCAGTGGCCGCTCCCGGCCACCACAGCCTCGACCTGCTGGGCTCCAGCGATCCTTCCGCCTCAGCCTTCTGAGTAGCCGGAATTACAGGCGCGCGCTACCACGCCCAGCTGATTTTTTGATTTATTGTAGAGATGAGATCTCGCTGCCCAGGCGGGTCTCGAACCCGCTGGCTCAGGCAATCCACTCACCTCAGCCTCCCAAAAGCGCGGGTTTACAGGCTGAGCCACCAAGCCCGGCATAATCAGTGTTATTAATGCTTTTTGTGTAATAAGGTGATTTGAGTCTTTGGCTCTCTAAAATATTGATGATATTTTCATTTCAGAAATGAAGAAACCTAGAACAAAAACAGGTTTAAAAAAAAACAAGGACAAAAAACCAGACTTATCCCGTCACATTCCAGTAAATGGCTGATTCAGGATGTGAATCCTTGATTTCTGGCTCCATAGATAAATCTTTTAACCATGGTGCTAAGATAACAACGCTTGTTATTTCTGTCCTTCA